AGTCGAACACTAACTCTAATAGTATCACTCAAGGAAGGCGTTTTGTGGAATCAGAGAATTAAAAGGGGGTTAATTTAAGCCAACAATAACGACATACGCATTTATTGCTCAGAAGTAAATACTTGACGGGGCCACATATCCTATCGTTATCGGACCCTTTTTTCATCTGAATCGCTAGCAACCTCAAGACAATCCTCGTTCTCCCGCTGTCGACATAAGACACTACTAATACTGCTACTACTACTTTCCTCTACTGATCGAAACAGACTTAACACATTCACCGAACTCGCATCAAAGTGCAGACTGCTTATCGAGTCTGACCGCTACACCCAAGGCGGCTTCATTGACCCGTGCACAAAAACTGGGTGCCTAAACGGGCAACTGCAATTAATTTTTGGTAAAGATGAATAGCGCTCCCCAGCAGTCCACATATACCTCAAATAGGAATAGTCGTACTACTAGTGATCCTCATTATTTCGTTTTGCTTGCTATAGAATCTGACTCTCTTGTATGTTGGTGGAGTGAAGTGTCATCCCTGATTAGATTTCTGTTGCCTCGGGTTGTCTAATATGCTTTCTTATGTTTTTTTCTGATCTGATCTGTTGACTTAGTCACATTTTTTATTGCTGTAGGTCGTGGTACCCCACCCGTCGGTTTGGCTAGTATGCCGGGTCCTTTTACTCCAATGTGAGTTTGTGCTAACATCTGAGATACCCATTTTATTGTATTATTTGCTTATATAACTCCAGTTACTCCACACTGTACGGAGTCGTAATACCCCCCAGAAAGACGTCTTGTTTAGCCACCTATAGTCATAGTGGCGTCTTGACTACATGACTTAAGTTGATCCTTCTAACCACAGTTTGCTTAGTCAGCTATCTCTCACACTGTATTGCCATCCTTTTCGGAACTTGATTCACGTTATTTAACCTTTGATTTCGCGTTTTTCACGTAGAGAATAAAATACAGGTTTGACGTCAAAGTTACTGCCAAGAAGGGATGTCACAGAGTCTACAAGATGCCCTGCACTTCTCCATCTTCTTGGTGTGCCGGGCATCTTCGATTTAGGTTATAGAAAATTCAGGGTTTAGTCCACGAGTACCGTACGGATCCATTTGGTAATTGAGCTAAACGCTCGATGAGTATGACAGTTCAACCGTCGGAAGAGATTATTTCGAGCGTGTTTCCTACAGTGGACGCAGGCTGCTAACACTTGTGAATGTCTTTACAGTGACTTATAATTTAGCAATATCTATCGCAAGAAGACACCTACATTCACTTATATTCACTCCCTAAAGTCAGAGGTGACGCTCTGTTTCATGTAGGAGGAGTGACGCTGAATTCAGGCTGTTCTAACTAAGTGATTAAATTCTGTGCTTGGGGTCCGGAGAACGTCCGGACTCACATTAGTTCCCGCCCTCTCACCTCTATCCACCAAAAGCTGTGTCAGCTACTAGTACGACTGCTGCAACTATAACTACAACTAACATTAGTACTAAAAATAATAATGCTAATAAAGCTAATAACACGACAGATAACAATAGGGATAATACTAGTAAGTTAAGAATACGCAGATTGGAATACTGCTGATAGAAAAAAATACGCCAATACTAATAGTACTAATACTAGTAATGATACTAATAATAATAAATAATGCACTATAGTACAAGTGCAATAAAGCAATTAAATAATAATAGCGTGCTTCTACTACTAATAATGATGGAACTAATGGATAATAGTACTGATAATATTGCTGATATTAATTTTAAAGTACTAAGGATGCTGTAAGTAACGCCACATCGTCCAGTACCGTCTGACTCTCAGTCTACGGCTCAGCCACTGAACACACAACACACACTGGGCTGAGGACGTGGTCTGGTAATCCTACTTGGTAGGATTGCAGTCTAGGCACGGACATGAAGCTGAAGCCTCGTATACAGAAGGAATCGAAGATCAGGCCTACCTTTCTGTAGGAAGTTTTTTGTGAGTAATCCTCGACCTGGGGGGTGGGGTCGCTAACCTCAAGGTCCCTCCCCCCGAGGCAATCGCGTAATAATCATTAACCTGTCAGTATTTAGCTAGTCTTATATGCAGGGGTTATAGGGCACGCCATATTGACTGCAAATGTTTTGTCGGTTATTCTGCCGCTGCTTCACGCAGCTGCGAGGGCTCCGGCTAATTAGTACGTCCTCCAGTGTCTCTTATGGTTTATAAGGGTTGAAGCAAAGTTTAGCATCCCAGGTATGTGTTTAAATAGAGAAGTAGAAGGCCTTTCGATCACCGAAATCAACCTGAGCTTTCGGGCTCTTTCTGGAGTTCAACGTCAGAGATAAAAGCGTAAACGAAAAACAACCAACAGTTATATGATGCAGGGGCCAATCAACCATTATAAGAAGGGAGGAGTGGGGGTGGGTGAACAGTCAACCACCCGTGCCGTCAGTCCGGAGATGTCTGT